CTCCACTTAAGGCAGAACCTCACCCTCGACCTGAAGAGAACAATCCAGCTTTGGATTGGACTGGGGCCGCATTAATCAATGGCAAATCAACTTTCCGATGCAGAAGATATTAAGATCTTTAATATACATAAGATATTTCCTCATCTTAGTTTATTTGTGCAGTAGTGACTTATATTTTATCTTAGTTTTAATACAAAATATTATTACTCTAAATTTCAGTTGAGGACAGCCATGGTAAAAGGAGAGACGGGCAACATCTCACTGAACGTCAGAGCTTCTGTGGATAAAGGGGTGAGCAGTCCGTGGCTGTGTTTCTGTTCTGCAGCAAAACTTTTAGTTTTCAGTCATTTTAGAGACACTGCCGTCTGTTCTCTGAAGCTTTAAAGATTATAAACTGACAGTTTTTGTGTCAAACATTCACCATTCTGATCACGATTCTTTCTTCATGCAACAGAAAAGACCCATGCACCTCGTCAATAACTATTTCTACATCAACATCGATGAGACACCTTTCAGGTAAAGTTGCAGTTCTGTTCACTTTTGCCTATTTCCTGGGGTTCCTGTATTTAAAGCCTGTCTTTGACGTTTCTTTTGCAGCTTTGGTATGGTTCTGACGAAGGGTCATGGAAGCCTGATGATTGTTGGAAGTGTCTCTGTGGAAGAAGGTACCGTTCTCCAGTGTCCCTGGCAGATCATCGTCATCCCAGTTCCTGTATTTAAGCTGTGTTTTCTAGAAAAATACAGCTTAAATAAAATAATCAGTAAAACACAGTATTGTAGATTCAAGTGATGAAGTTGCTCGAGTGTTTTCATTGAAGAGCTCCTGCAGTTTTCATTTGAACAGATTCACTTTATTTTCCTTCGCAGGATTACACGACCTGACCTCCCCGGACCTCAGCATCGCCTCCGAGTGGTACGTCAAACCAAAAGGAAATGAACTAACCTCCAGCGCTGCTGTCCATAGTCTGCATCTTTATTTGTCCTCAGCCACAGCTAATTCTGAGACAC